TCTAAAGCACATGTCAGAGTAGAAGCTAGAAAAGCAAAGCTTGGGCATGAAGAGAAGAACCATCTTGCTTGCACAATTAGACTTTGAGATAAATTTTACATTGTTTTCTATATTTAAAATGTGAAACCTAACTAACCTTTACTCTCTCTTATTAGTCACTTGTTTGCACTCAACAATAGATATAAATTTGATAGCAACTTGGTCTATATTTACATTAATGCTAATTGTGTTGAAAGAGAGAAAAAAAAATAGTGAAGCAAAAACCAAAAGGGCAAATTAGTGTAATTTAAACACTTATTATTAAGGTGTAAAAAAGTTAAGACATGTATTAATCAAAAGAAAAAAAAAAGGTAAGACATGTTAAAGAGGTAGATTAGATTATAGGTTGTGTAATAATGAAAAAGCAAAAGAGCAAATAAAGCAGTTGGCAGTAGTTGTTGTTCTGTCTTTGTTTTTAATTAATCATATTATCTCATGTCTCCTCTCTCCCTCTTCTCTCAAATGGTAATAATTATCAGTTTATTTTTCTCTTTCTCTAGGTCTTTTATTGTCACTAAACACAATTATTATTACTGTTTCTTTTTGATCCTATAAAGGTTGGAACTTGATGCTTGCTTTGTTGTTTGTTCAAAGTACCCAACTTGTGTGAATCTCTCGTTTTTTTTCATTTCTCCTTCCAATTTAAGCAAAAACAGCATTTGATACCCTCTCATTTCACTGTACTATCTCTTCCCTTATTTATCTGATTTATAGGTCTTACTGTAATGTAAATCCCCACCTAAGAATTTGATTCTTCTTCTTTTGTACTCTTTCCAAAGGCACCACAAATCTTGGAGTATCTCAAACAGGGCTTGTCTCAATTTCCTTCCCATTTATAAATTCAAGTTCTTGGTTCTCTGATCTCACAAGCTTTGTTTTTTTTGTTCTCACCCTCTTGAAGCTGAAGAGATTGGTTTATGAGACAGTGACTTTGCTCTCTCACACTCTTAAAAGCGAATCTAC